TCATTATTATCATTATTATCATTATTATCATTATTATCATTATCATTATTATCATTATTATCATTATTATTATTATTATTATTTGTATTTTTGAATGCCAAATGCTTTAACAATGTTTATTCTTGATGTCTGTATTTCCACATAAATGTATCTGAGATTATCAGTCCTGAGAAACATCTTTGCTCCTTTCAGTCAGCTCAGCAAACTTTCCTGACCTGTAAACAAGGACAGGTACTGACGTGTCATGTGATCAACAAACACCAGGGGGCAGCAGAGTTTCACTGCACAGTTCTTTTGAAGGAACAAGAACTTTAACAAAAATGACTCATTTACAAATATCAATATGTTAGATTTACACAGAGCACAGCTCAACAGAGGTTAGGGGTTAATAGCACCAATTTAAAGCTGTCTTATGAAATCATTTGGGGGATAAATATTTATTTCTAAATGTCTGTCTATATTTCGGAGGAACTAGGAATTTTAAATATTTTGTACTAATTTTAGAAACTGTAGGTGTGTTGAAGTTTTGTGGAGTGATCGTGTTTTTTTTCTTCCTGAGTACATAGGGTTTATTAAATATTGATTCTTTTGCTACATTTTTTATCAACAATGTTCACATGATCAGTTTTAAATTAGTGAACATTATCAAGTTGTCCATTCGCACCGACAACCAAGATTTCCCCAAACATCTGAAAACAGATGGCTACTCCAGCTGAGTCATTTGTCTCCTGACTGAAAATCATTTTATCAGCCCGTTGTTGTTACAAGAACGTCACATGAAGTGCGTTAGAATGAGTTCCTGTAAAATGTTGAAGATGCTTGTCTTTTATAAAACAAATAAATGTTGGCAATTTTATCTGAGACTGACCATTCCTTGTTCAGAGTTTTCTCTTTTGCCATCAGGATTTAGATTTGCTTTAAAACGATGCAGAACCAAGAGATTGAAGAATTCAATTTGAAATACTTGTTGAGTAGTGGTTAGGTTTGTAGATATTTTTGGTGTCTGTACTGTGACAGATTTTATTGTATTTACTGTACTTATTGTGGATGAATGTTCTTTTCCTGCTGCCTGTAATCCATCCATCCATCCATTTTCTGTACACGCTTCTTCCTTTTCAGGGTCACGTGGGTCACTGGTGCCCATATCCAGCAGTCACAGTGTGAGGGGCGGGGTTACACCTGGACAGGTCGCAGGTCCATCACA